AATTTTAATTTTCTTTATATTTAACTTCTCGTAGGGTCAATTATTGTAATTGTCCAAAAACCGAAATTGAAAATTTTTACATATCTTTACGTTTTGAAGGTTTCTGAACATTTTGGCATACCTCAGAAAAAATGAATGTGTGTGTGTATATATGTATGCCTGGATACAATTTTTCTTCCACGTTTCGAGCGCACCGATGAACCGATTTGAATGGGTCAAAAAACATTCGATTCCTATTGATAGGAAGATGTGCTGATTAGTTTTTGGCAAAGGCAGGTCCAGCCGTTTCGGAGATACGGAGCAAAGAGTGCAAAAAATAGAAATCAAGTTTTTGAAAGAACGGAGCATCCGATTTGAATGATCTAAAAAACATTCAATTCGTAATGACGGGGAGAAGTGGTGATTAGTTTTTGGCAAAGGCAGGTCCAGCGCTTTCGGAGATACAGAGTTAAACCGTCTGATTTTAATGATTCAAAAAATTTTCTGCTTGTTTTTACAAAATAGTTGCTTTTGGAAAAAAAATTGTTTCAATTTTGATTTTCAAATTTTTTTTTTGTTAAAATATTTTTTTTTGTATATCGAAAATAATTCAGATTTTAATTGTAATTCTGACTCAAGTTCTAATATACTTTAAACAAATATTTTCAACTTTGCAATTCAGTTTATATAATTTTTATAAATATTAGATAATGTTACAGTATTTATTTATAATAATCTATTTGAAAACATTTAATATTCCTCGAAAATTTCGTTACGGTACGGGAAGTTCCAGCAATTAACCTTAAAGCACTATGCCATACACCCATTAGTTCTTTTTGGTTCCTATCTAGAGTATCTACTTCGCAAAATACATGATAGATGGCCCTGTTGTTATGTCCAAAAAGGGTGACAAATTTATGTCGTTATGATTTTGAAAACTGAATTAGAATTAACCAGTGGTCCATCGTATTGTGCCTTATAACTTTGAAATTTTTTAAAAACATGGACTATTTTGAAAAATTTGATATTTTTTTAAATCTTGAAATTTTTTAAAATTTTAAATTTTTGTTCCAAGCAGTGTAGCTGTTTTAAAGAAAATATATCTATACGGCGGTTAAACATTATAAATCTTGGTACGGAACCGATAAAAACGTAAACAAAATTTATACTTATTACAATCTATATAAAATATCTGATATTTGATGCGCATGTAAATAATGATCATTGTTGACCGCTAAATGTCTTTTTTTACTTTTATCATAGGATCTGCAAAACCGTTGGACCAGACCACCCAAAAATGTATCCAGTTCTTTATTTCGTCAATACAAGTAAAATGTTTTTCGAATCATTCAAATCGGACGCTCTGTTCTCTTAACAACTAAATTACCATTTTTGACGTTTATATATGTTTACATGAAAAGTAAGTAAACAAAATTTAAAAGCGGAGTTAGAGTGAAGGACCTTATCTCAAGAATTATATAAACTGAATCGTAGAGCTTGAATTATTCATTTTAAGTGTAGAAGTAGGCTTTGGCATTTTAGCTAAAATTAAAATATAAATACGAATTATTTTTAATATTAAAAAAATTTTTGAAAATTAACTTTTTTTTCTTTTGCTTTCCCCAAAAACAATCATTTTGTCAATACCAGCAAAAGTTTTTTTAATCATTCAATTGAATGCTTCATTCTCTCGAAAAAACTGCCATTTTTTGGCCTTTTAGCTCCGAAACGGCTGGCGCTTTCTTCTTCAAAAACTAATCACCACTCCTCCCCTCCATTACGAATCAAATGTTTTTTGAATCATTCAAATCGAATGGTCTGTACTCTCAAAAACTCGATTTCTGTTTTTTGCACTCTAAGCTATATATCACCAAAACGGTTGGATCAACTTTACCAAAAACTAATCAGCGCGTCTCTTTATCAATAGGAATCTAATATTATTTGAATAATCCAAATCGGTTGAACAATGCTCCTGGAAACGTTCAGAAGCCGCTGAAACGTGAAGATATGTTAAAATTTTCATTTTCGATTTTTGGACGATTACTATAGCATTAACTACGGGAAGTTAATAAACACTTTTCGTAGGCCATTAGTAGGTATTTCAGTTTTATTAAAAATATCAAATTTGTTTTTAACAATCAATTGTAAAGAAACGACTTGGTCGATCATTGTCTAAAACTAATCAGCACACAATTTTTGATTTTTTCTGAATAATTTAAAGAAACTACTCATATAACTCATCATAAAAGTAATCACTGCAAATCATTATCGAGTTGCAATAAATAGTTTTAAAATTTTTGAAATAGGTTCAGCCAATTTGGAGAAAACTTCGATGAAAAGTCTAAAATTGGAACACTGCACATAGCTATACATACATACAGAGCCATACACATAGATATGTTCATGCAGACATATTTTTTAAAATTTTTGTCTTCGTTGTCTTTTGTCGTTGTCTAGGTTTTATTTTAGTCTTGGTTCGATTCAGAATTTTATGAAACGTCGAGAAAACATTAAATTCGCAAATTTCTCGCAAAAACGTAAATATCTCAAATTATGTTCTACTGAATAAATTTATTGAAACGCATAGTTTTCTACTATTTTTAAATAAATTTCCAAAGTTCATCTTACAAAGTTTGAAAAACATTCGTAATTATGCAAATAAGTACCGCACGTAAGTTCATTAAGATGTGTATTAGACCATAATTCCTACATGTTCTTTAGACTAACCCTATTGTACGAGTACATTTCCTACGAGTGCTCTATGCTACGATCAGGCATTGTTCGGATGTAATTAAACTGCTTGTGTAATAAATATTAAGAAATCACTTAAAGAAGTTTTTCAAGGGCTCCACACATCAATATTATTCCTCCGCTTTTTTTGCTTTGTATCTCCGAAACGGCTGGACCTGTCTTACCAAAAACTAATCAGAATATCAAAGAAATATCTTTGGAATCAATCTAATTGGATGCCCTGTTCTCGCTAAAACTAAATTCTCATTTTCTGCACTTTTTGCTACACTTTATATCCGAAACGGCTGAATCTGTCTTTTTCAAAAACAAAGGTCAGCATATCTCCCTATGAATACCCAGTAAACACTACTTGTTGCCGCAATATAACTTTTTATGTTACAAAGTTATATAACAAGTGTTAACTAAATGTAATGTACCCGCAATGTATTTTGAAGTTACAAAGTTATATAACAAATGTTAACTAAATGTAATGTACGCGCAATGTATTTTGAAATTACAAAGTTATATAACAAATGTTAACTAAGTGTAATGTAAGCGCAATGTATATCGGGAGTTACAAAGTTATATACATTTGTTACCTAATGTTAAATGTGCAATGTTTTGTTAGAAAATATTTTCCACAACTTTATATTTAATGAAAAATCGATTTATCTAATTTTAAATTCCGGATATATATATTTTTTATATCAACCGATTAGATTGATTTAACTAGTGGTGTATGGCATCGTGCGTTAAGGCAAATTACTGGAACTTCCCGTACCAAAAATTATTTTTTTTTCAAAAAAAATTTTTTTTTCAACTTTGAAAAAATTAGATTTTTTAAACAATTTACATTTTAGAAAAAAATTGAATTTTTTGAAAAAAAAACTTTAGAAGAAAAATGTTTTTTATGAGATGAAATATCGAAGCGCGTAAGCGCCGCGTTGCTGTTAAACAAACAAACGATGTTACGGAACCCATAGAATGGTTCTTGAATTATTAAATTCGGACGCTTCGTTCTCTTAAAAACTGAGTTACCTGGGCACTTTTTGCCCCGTATCTTCGGAACGGCTGCATCAGCACGCCTCCTTATCAATACGAATCGAATGTTGTTCCCGAAACGTCGACAAAATTTTCATTCTCGATTTTTTTGCGACTACTATAACTTACTACGGGACGTTATAGTAAAAATTTCAAAGTTTTAAATAAAAAAATTTTCTAAGTTTTCCAAAAATAGAATTTTAACTTCTTCAATTACTTACTTAAAACAAACTATTTTTTTCAAAAAATTTAAAAACTTATAAGGAGAATCCACGCATTGCCTGTCTCGGATTTTGATGAAACTTGGCACAATGCTAGATTTGATGCCCAAACTGACCGTGGTAAAATATTAGAGGCCTGTGAAAAGCGGTTTAAATATAAAAATTAATTAAAGTTTGCATTTTAGCAGCGCGCGTATTGCATACCTTGCAAGCTATTCGTTATTAACAGCAGATTGGCCGAGTGGTTATCGTCGTGGAATTCTAATTTTTGCTCCGGGATTCAATTCTCAATTCAGATATAATATTTTTTTTATTATTTTTCTTTGATATTTATAATTTCACGTGTAAATAATATTAACATTTATTTGAGTTTTCGATTAATTTTATATTTTCGTTTAATATTCTATAATAAAGTCCTCCGTAACACCTGTAAATTTTATTTTGATACTACTTATAAAACTTACGATCATATAAATATTAAGTGATTTCTGAAACATTATAATTTTGTATTAATAACAACAATAATACGGAAGAAAAGATATATATTTATAAGTAATATCAAAATAAAAATTTACAGGTGTTACGGAGGACTTTATTATGGAATATTAAGCGAAAAATATAAAATTAATCGAAAACTCAAATAAATGCTAATATTATTTACACGTGAAATTATAAATATCAAACAAAAATAACAAAAAAGTATATAAAATTTTTGAATTTGATTAAACGTTTTAAACGTTTAACGGTTGTCTTCCTTTTTCGGCAGAGGGACTAGACTCAGGAGTCAGGTTTCCCAGAGTGCATTGCGCCCTGTAGCCTGTACGCTGTACGCCATTTTGATTTTATACTCTGTCATATGTGGGGATGTTTTGTTGGGTTGTTTTGTCTTGTTTTATTTTATATTTTGTAATATTGAGTGCTAAGTGTATAAATAAAAATGCAAAAATATATAGCATACATATGGCGTAAACTTTACATATTTGCTTATGTGAAATTTGTTCAGCTACATTGAAATCGAAAGAGTATAAGAAATACCTCAAAATGAATTCTATGAAGTGCTGTTTGATATATAATATTATGAAGGGTAAGTATAATTTATTTGTTGGTTACTGTGTTAAAGCCTAATTATTTTTATAAGGCCCGCGTTTGGAGATGTCTCAAAAAAAAACTAGAGCTTATTATTTGGATATGAAAATTTAGTTTTCGACAATGCTACAAGATACTAAAGGTAAATAACTGTTTAAATTTTTAATGGCTTTTGAGGTTTTTATTATTGTAATAATTTCTTTTTAGGATTGGATTCTACGTCTCGGTTTAAATCCTAAATTGCCTCGAATAACATATGTGATTAATATGAAAGAATATCAAGAGGGTTTTAACAGCAAAACAAGGAATAAATGAAAGGTATATGGCATAGTTTTGTTAACTAAATACTATTATAAATTCTGTTTAACTTTCTCATTTTTTTAATTTAATATTATATATACTCATTACTTGTGTTGTAAGATGTAGATCTGAAATATGAAATGAAGATGATTGTGAAGAAAATGATGTTTGATAAGAAAAATCAAAGCTTAATAATGCTCAACTATAATTCTAATAGTTGTATTGTTTCTTTGCAAAAAATATAATTGTATTTGAAAATTGTCATCCTAATTTGGAATTATGTAATAAAGTTTCTGTATATTGGTGTGTCGAGATAGCTAGGTTAATAGTTAGACCAAAACTAGATATTTTTATTTCCATCCTTTATTATTAATTAATATCATTTAAAAATAGTTTTATATTCAATTTGTGTTTCATTTGAAAATATGAAATTAATAATTGTAATGAATATGAATTTTATATTTTTGTTATTGTTTTCGAAAAATATTTGTTACTGTTTATTATAACATATTTAATATTGTTATTTTTAACATTTAAAATATTCTAGTTTATTATGTTATTTTTTTGTTTTGTTTAATAGGTTACTATTTTGTTTTTCATTGTGTAAATAACAAAAAATAAATGTAATTGATATAAATTTTATGTATCGTCTAAAATATTTGTTGCTGCTGTATTGTTTATTATATTGTTTTTTATTACTGTCTTGTTATGAAGTTTATTATTGCTTTATAAAATTTGTTGCTGTTCTATATAGTATAAAATATTTGTTGCTATTTTCTTTATTATAATGTTGTTATTCTTTTTATGAAATATTTGTTACTGTTCTCTTTAGTATAAAATATTTGTTGCTATTTTGTTATTATAAAATACTTGTTACTGTTCTGTTTAGTATAAAATATTTGTTGCTATTTGTTTGTTATAAAATACTTATTACTGTATTGTTTAGTTCAAAATATTTGTTGCTATTTGTTATAAAATAATTACTGTATTGTTTAGTTCAAAATATTTGTTGCTTTTTGTTTGTTATAAAATATTTGTTACTGTTCTGTTTAGTATAAAATATGTGTTGCTAATTGTTTGTTATAAAATATTTGTTACTGTTTTGTTCAGTTCAAAATATTTGTTGCTATTTGTTTGTTATAAAATACTAATAAGTATTGTTTGTTTGTTTGTTATATATTTGTTAAAAATACTTATAAGTATTTGTTATATACTTATAACAAACAAATAGGAACAAATAGTTAGTGCTAGTAGTTTAGTACAACATATTTGTTGCTATTTGTTATAAAATACTTGATACTGTTTATATAGTTCAAAATATTTGTTGCTATTTGTTTCTTATAAAATACTTATAAGTATTTCATAACAAACAAATAGCAACAAATATTTTGAACTGAACACAACAGTAACAAATATTTTGTACTAAACAAAACAGTAACAAATATTTTATAACAAACAAATAGCAAGAAATATTTTGAACTAAACAAAACAGCAATATATTACTGTTTTCTACAGTTCAAAATATTTGTTGCTATTTATTTGTTATAAAATATTTGTTACTGTTTTGTTTAATACAAAATAGTTTATAATAAACAATAGCAACAAATATTTGCTGTTATTTATTTGTTATAAAATACTTATTACTGTTTCGTTTAGTTCAAAATATTTGTTGCTATTTATTTGTTATAAAATATTTGTTACTGTTTTGTTTAGTACAAATTATTTGTTGCTATTTGTTATAAAATATTTGTTGCTATTTTGTTACTATGAAATATTTGTTACTGTTCTATTTAGTATAAAATATTTGTTGCTACTTTGTTTATTGTAAAATATTAATTTTAAATAATAAATACAATGAAATATGAGTAAATCTTTTTTTTTAGAGAAAAATTAATTATTTACGCATAAATTATAAGCATTTCAAAAAGTGCTGATTATCGCATAGGTACATTACCGTATGTTACCGCAACCTAACAATGTTATATAACAAGTTAACTAACAGGGTAGGAAATAGTTATCTCCAGGTAATAAAATTTCTTAGGGACGGTGAGGTTGACGTTATATAACTAGGTAACATTTTTATATAACCGCAACCTAACGGCAATATAAAATTGTTTACAGGGTG